CACTGTTTTTATATTTTAAGCTATCAAGTGATAAGAGTTGTGCCATCTACAAAGGAGCATGTTCTGCAACTGCATGCATTAGAACTTCGCCAGACATGTCACCAGGTAAGTTTTTTTTTTGTTACAGTTACATGAATACAGTTCGCCTTCCAATTTGGGACAACTTTCGGGGCCAGACAATTTGTGGTGGTCTCGAGCTTGGTCGCTAATTAGAAACGTTTAAACATACACCACTGACAAATGCGGTCTCTCAACGTAGTAATTTAAACCCTCTAAAGCCTCTAAAATGGCGAAAATGGTCTTCAAATTCTGCATAATTAGAAGAACACGAAAAACGAAGAACTATACCGAAGTATTCCCAAAAAATATTATTTTTATCCTAATGGTATTTCATTATATATTATCTCAGTTCTGATTTGAAATAGTTGAATCTGAAATTATACACGTAGGATAGTTTACCACGCATACAATAACTCATGGGCCCTACGCTACAAAGACTTCCATTGAAGTGAGTGTCTAAGCTAAATGCAGTTGCTTTATTATAGTAGGTTTAGGCTTGAAAGGGAATGCTTTTGATAGGGACAGCAGTTACAAATGTAATGATAGCATTTTTGTGACATTTTTAAAATGTAAGCCAACATGTGCGGCAAGGATGGTCGATTGAATGATTCATAGGACTATGATTATTGTAACCGTCTCAAAAATTAGTTCCAATCATTTGGCTGGGCGCCCATGGGGCGCCTAAGGCCTCCGGCGCGCGGGGTCCAGTGACAGAGCTCCATGAAGATGTTAAGATGACCTAGAAGTTAGGGCCATTAAAGGTTAATGCACAGGTACCTTGACAATTTGCCGGGCTACAGTATACCTTCCACCCACGATCAGCTACGGCTCTACTTCTAAAGTGGTGACGTCGCAATTTCAACTTTCACTAGGTACCAGAAAGGGATTCAGAAGAGAATGATTAGAATTGTCGTAAAATGAGAATTGATGTATCAACGTTAAATTTAACATAATAAAATATTTTAACTTATATACTATAACTTTTTCATAATCACTGATATTTTTTAATTAAATGTTCATTTCTGTATTTGTTAAATGAGCACTGTGTAAGTATGGAATGAATATAAATTGTTAAAATATGGTCAATAGCATATTTGGCAAGATTAAGTATTGCTTAATTTGTCGATTCCATTTTTCCCCTACTGTAGTTGGATTTTTGGATGTCAGCAAGAACCGTTGGAAAAGCTGTGGACATAATGGTGCCACCAACGGCAAAAAGTTACATTAATCTTGCACTGGACACAATCAAGGCACCGTACCATGTGCTAATTAATGATGTTGATGGTCTAATTCAGAACCAAAGGGAAAGTCGAGCTTTGAATGTCAAAACAGACGATGAGGATGATTTCTTCAAGGCTTATCGTACCATTGCGGAGGTTTGTTGTTAATTATGTTAAACGTTTCTGGTTTAGGACTACTAGCCCCTTCAAAAAACAAACAAAAAATGGGTATTGTGTTTAAATGAGTACTTTGTAATTGCTGTGTTCATTGCTCCCATTTCGACTATTGTTAGACTCGGAAAGTCAATTTTTTATTACGGTATCTACGGACCCAAATTATGGAATAATATTGATGATAAATTAAAAATATGCGCAAATGTTAAATTATTTAGAAAACAGATGAAAATCAATTATTTAGACAGTATATCATAACTTTTAATTAATTTAAAATTCAATGCTTTTTTACTTAATTTTTTTTACTAAATTTATTACTTTTTTAACTAATTAATTTATTACCTTTTCGTTATCCATTTATCCATTTAAATTTCAATTGTATTTTGTTTATCTATTTATTTCTTGTCTCGTCCGGACCAAGCTGAGACAAGCTTAGCTTTTAAGCTTCACCCAAATTGATGGAATCTTGTTATTGAAAATAGAAAACTTTCCCCCTTAAAAACAGGTTACGGGCCTGATCATCATAGTTACCAACCGTCTCGCATCGTGCGGAACGGTTCCACATTTAAAAGTAGTTTTGGATGAAAAACGCATTTGCAGAAGCACGTGTGTTATCAGAAATTTGTCACGCATTTCAGCACAAGTCTATGCGTGATAACGAATTATCACGAATTCTTAGGAAAATGTATTTAAAATTAGAAGAAATTAGTGTTATTAAAATATAAAAACGGTTATACAGTAGCTTGAGTCGTTAGAGCTTTCTTTATCTCGTTCGAGAATCAGTTTACCAAGAAAATTTCTCTTTCCCCACCAAAACAACCCAGCCAACTATGCACTTAGTAGAATCTAGTAGTCGCGTGCGGTCTTGTTCCTTCCATTATCACAACCAACCGTTGATTATCTGATTGGAACCCGGGCCTCCAGTGTTCTGCCACTGACTCCAGGGGCTCTGGCGCCCCCTCCCCACTCCCACTCAACTGGTGTAGTCACGCATTTAAAATCTCTCAGGTTGGTAACTATGGATCATTCACCAGCATCTACACTGGATGGATGGATTTATTCGGTTGAAGCACCAAGACCCACGAAAGTCTGCAGAAAACGTATTTCCAGTGTGGGGTATTTCTGGTGGTGATTTGGTACACCGGGAGACAATCCTCTACTATCCAGTGTGGGGTATTTCTGTTGGTGATTGGGTACACCGGGAGACAATCCTCTACTTTTCTCTTTAACATGCACGCAGACAATGCACACGGGACCAACGATACGTCTCATCCGAAAGACGGTGCGCTATTCTAATTTTCCAGCTGACACAAAAGGAGAGCAGTTAGAATTTAACTGGACGGTTGAGCGCGCACACAGTGGCTCCCACCTATTTAGCCGACTGAGCTAAGCTGCTCCCTGTTTCCCAGTGTTGATTTGTTAAGCCGGACACTCACTGCGTCGTACGACGGTCGTACGACCGTCGCAACCGTCGCACGACGAATCCACATTTGCTTCCGCCGAGCGATACGACGCAACGCCATCTGCTGATTGCCAGTGGCAATCTGAAAGGATCCTCATTAAAAAGACGATCCGTGGGGTCCGCGTCTTCGCGTGCGTTCTTCATCGCTTTGCCGTCGCGTCGCCGTCGCACGCAGTGAGTAACCGGCTTTAGGTTCTGATGTAAATCTTATCCTCATTAGATTGAAGCTTGGACAGCTGATCTGGTAAACAAGTATGCAGACGTTCTCTCTGAAGTAGATCTTGGAACATCTTACGAGGGCCAATCAATGAAAGCACTAAAGGTAACAAATCCAAACGGTATTTAAAAGTTAAGCAGGTTTTGGCTACACGAAACACGACAGTTTATTGTGATCTCGCGCATTCAGGAATCTTCTATTATTAGGTATAAGTTAGTTACATGTATTGATTTGATCTAGGCAAAAGCCTGGTTTCCATAAAATCGCCGACACTTACTATAGCTTTTTAAATAGAATCGTCAAACTGCGTAAATATTCCCTACGCAACATAGACAGCTCTCCACTTCGGCCAACCAATCACCGGCGCCGAAAGCTGTCGACGGTAGCGTTTAGCGGTTTCATGGTAAACAGGGATTGCAGCAATAACTGTAGCAACAGTGCAGTGATTTTATGGAAACTAGCCTAACTGCGTACTGTAGACAACCAATGGGATGAAGAGCTACTTCAGCAAATGTCAGATAACATGTCTCAGTTTAGTAAAAGCCATGGTCTTTAAGGAACGATAGTTTGTAATACGTACATTTTTGTCAAGAGATTTCATATACCGTAAATTGCTGTAAATATAGGCCTAATATTTTGTTTCTTCGATTTTCAGTTTCAATTTTTATTTCCTATCTTAATGGCATATGTTTATATGCTTACCACATGTCGCTCTATTCTCTTCCTCTTACTATCTACAAACACAGATGTCTCCGAATAATAAGTCAGGAAAAAAGCAAATTTGGTTGGAGGGTGGTATACACGCTAGGGAATGGATTTCGCCAGCAACTCTCATGTACATTACAAATAAGGTAAATCGAATTGCATGTTTTAATTCAAAAAAAAAAATCGTTGAAAATATAGCAATACTGAATATTGAGTTTATTGCGTAACTGAAAATTTGCGTTTCTTTGGTTTCTTAGATTCTGGAAAAATATGCTAGTAATGCAGTTGATGTAATTGAATTCCTCGACGAATATGATATTTACGTCCTTTTTGTAACCAATCCAGACGGCTACCGGTACACATGGACCGATGTAAGCATATTAGTGTCTATTCCAACAACCAAAAAGTTTGGTTCTCACAGCACGTCGCACAACGCAACCTACAAGCCGTCGCAATTCTCCTATTGCAAAAGAAAAAACAAAAAACAAAAAACAAAAAACAAAAAATAGGCCTAGATGTGTGAGGATGATGCTATTGCTGAGGTTGCGTTTGCGTTGCTGGTTCACACTAACGGTGTATCTAGGAGTGCCCCTTCTCCCTCCGTTGGTGCTGTCTCTTATACACATCTAGATGTGTATAAGAGCCCACCCTACAATAAATCACACTCATTTAGTTAAAAGTCACTTCAAATCACCTTATTTTGCCAGGTAGCGCCCCCTCACCTAATCATCGAGCCCTGCAATTTACCTTCACGCCCCACCCCCATCATCCCCTCCCCATTTCAAGACTCTTAGTAGATACGTCACAGAAGCTTGGTTTCCATACAATCGCTCATCCTATCGGCGAATGTCCGACATTGTCGGGAATGTTGAACCTGGTTAAACTTTGCTGATTGTGTTGCGAGGTGCCTTCCCAATTGCGCCGGGGCAATAGCAATAGCACCCTGATTTGTCTGCAACGCAATTGGCAAATTTGAACCAGTTTCAACCTTCCTGACAACTGTCGGCGCCTGTTACCGATAGGGTGGGCGATTGTATGGGAACCGAGCTTCAATCGACCGTCGTGATTGACGTAAGCGTAGTTCAGTGGAGCCAGACTAATAAATGTGATATCCCCTTATTTGGATGTATATTACAGGATCATGTCCATATATAGAGCTTTAAGGAAGATTCAGACTACTTATAGGCTACAGAACTTTTTAAAACAAACAATTGTTTACAAATTTAAGTTTCAGCATTATATTTTAGATAAAATGTTTACTTCACAAAATTTTCTAATTCGAATATTTTATTTATTTTGTATTTATTTCATGCTTCTTTGTTTCTGTACTGTGTTGGTGTGAATTGTCTTTTCTGTATTCTTCAATTTTTCATTAATAGCTCATTTTTTCTGTATAAAATGTGGTAACATTTTACAAGTTTGCTTTTCGTTGTATCTCCTCCATCGTTGTTCACTTATTTATTATAATGGTTTTTATTGTATTTTATATTGAATTTTTGATGGAAATAAATGTTGAGTATAAAAACAAGATTATCTGTTTAAGGATGTTTTTCTGTCCAATATAGGATCGTTTGTGGAGAAAAACAAGATCACCAAATGAGGGCTCAGACTGCATTGGTACTGATCCAAACAGAAACTGGCCGTATGAATGGGGCGGTAAGGTTATGCCTACATAATGCCCCCCCCCCCCCCCCCCCCCCCCCACTTTCACTCCCGAAATATATATTTATAATTCATTTCATTTTATTTATTGCGCCTTGTTCATAAATGCATACAAAAACACAACAATAAAACTTGTAAAAAGGGTTCCCCCTAAGAGCCGGCGGGATTGCCATGAAAGTAAATTAAATTACTATTTAGGTGGCTCTCCAATCGATGGGGAAACATATTCTAGCATTTAGAATATTAAATAAATAACAAATAAAATAAAAATCTATACAGGCCTAAGTAATATGCCATACACATTTCCATCTGATGATGTGTTTATTTTAATTTGTTGGTAATTCATTTGTAACAGGCGAGGGCGCTTCAACGAATCCATGCTCTGATACATATCGCGGCTCTTCAGCAGCCTCCGAGCCTGAAGTCAAATCAATTGTCGGCTTCCTTCCTCAATTGGAAAACCTTAAAATGTTTATTGACTTCCATAGCTACTCTCAACTTATTTTGTATCCATGGGGATACTCGGAAAGTGCCCCACCCATTCCAAATCTTGAAGAAGTGGTAAGTTATTCATATATTTGATATTTATACGGAATGGTGGGGGTGGGGTGTGCGGCCTTGATGGGGAAGCGAAGGTGTATTAAGTGAGGGGTAATAAGGTGATTTGAGGCGTTTTTTATGTACTTGTAAGCGGGATTTGTTTGCTTCAAACATTTTGAATTGGGGTGGGGGGGAGCGGAGGAGCGAATGTTGGGCTTGGGGGATTTTTTAGGGTGCCCCTCCCCGTATCCTCCCGTAGACACGTCACGGTATATACAGTACCATAGAATGGCTTGTTCATCCTGCTATATAATATTTATATATAGGTACATATTCAAGTTTATTTTATTTGGTTTAATTAAATTCCCATGTGATATTACAAACAAAACAGATGACAAAGAGTGGAGTTTAAAAGGTTAGTGGCTAAATGCTTCTAATCCCAGGGTCCTGGGTTCAATTCCTGTCACAGCAGGACTGTTTCTCACCACTAAAAAGCAAATCCACTCCCTGTAAAGCATCATTTCATCCTGCAGTTGTAAGAAACAAGTGTACTTACTGCTGGATGTGAAGGAAATAAATAAAATAAATAAATAAATAGATAAAAACTCGAAAGACGAGTTACAGTATCCGGCCAGGGCATTACCAGAAGAACTGTCATACACGATTCAATAACACGATTTATTATAATGTATAACCATGTAGGAAATAGTTTATTCCTCCATGGTATAACACATATATTAAAATTATGGATTAACGATGTGTTAGTTAAAGGTGCTGAGCCATGTGATCCGTTAATATCTTTCATTTCACAGCATTATATGGCTGATCAAATTGCAAGTGGTATATATACAGTGGATGGAACGGAATATAAGATCGGAAATTCTGCCAAATTATTATGTAAGTGTTCTGTAGGCCTATTAATATGAGACTGACGAGGCAACACACCAAAAATGACGACACGTAATAGCCTCTTCCGTGAAGCCCCGCCCATTGGATATTATTGCTAAGGTGTGTGGGATACCTGTAAGATAAGATTTATTGGTTCTCTCTTTTATAACAGAGGAACACTCTCGCACAGGAGAGGTTCGACCCGTACAACAGTTACAAAACAACAACTGACAACATATAAAAATGAATTATTGAAAACTTAAATTATTGTAAACTTATGTATTCGTATGAGTGGCGCGTATTCTTGACTACCACCGCCGTTCTGAATGCTCCCTTGTTAATATTTTAACACTTCAGAAATATCCATTTTGTTGCCGTTTAAATATTTCCATTCGTGTTTGTTTTACTGTAGACCCGGCCTCTGGTGGCAGTGACGATTACGCATACTCCATTGGTGCTGATTTTTCTTACGTTATTGAGCTACCTGATACAGGCACGTATGGGTTCCTGTTACCAGAAGATATGATTATTCCAACAGGCGAAGAAACCTATACTGGCATAATAGCTGCCTTCAAACTCCTTAAACAAACGACGTAACCAGTTAAAGCAGATTTTTGGTAACTAGAGAAAAAAATAGGCATAGTAATCCGATTTTTTTTTGTTTTTGTTTTTTGTTTTTTTGTTTTTTTGTTTGTTTTTTTTTCTTTTGTTGTTGTTGTTGATTTGCCGACCTCTGACCCGAAACCTTCATTTATTAATTATGGGAATAGTTCAACCAATTATTTAAGTTGGTTTATTTTAGTGCATGAAAGTGTAGATTAGGATTATAGTGTCCTGGGCACGACGTTATAAACTGCATCCGGTCGAGTCGTCGGCGACTAATTCCGACAACCCCATCTGGTGGTCTTTAGCGGCCGCCAATGGGAGGGTGGATAGACACCCAGCAGCACGAAAAAAAAAAAACAGCTGAACAAAGGGCGGATGAACTCCTCGGAGCCAACGGCCAACCATGCCTTAGTTTAAGGAGTAGGTTTTTTTAGTTTCATAAAATAACTTCAACTTTCTTTTTTCTCAAAATCACCAAGCGCATAGAGGCTTTTTCGCATGATGCGCTCTACAAATCCAACTATTATTTATTATTATCCTATTATTGACAGATCTGAAGGCAAAATCTTTAATTTTGATTCGATTTATTTCACAAAGTCACATCCATATTTACATTTAAAGTCATAGCATGAGCTTATGAACAATAATATTAACAGGTTTGGTTATCATAGAGAAAAGTCTTTAGTTTTTTTGTTGCATTATTGCAATTTTATATACGATCGTAGGCAGTGCACATTTTTTTTTCGGAGGCAGTGAGTTTCTCTTCCACCAACTGCTATTGATTTACAGATGTATGTTTGTTAATGGTACGATACTAGCGCAGGTCTTTCGCCAATTGTTGTTTTAATTTCTAATGTATAAAATGATACAATATAAATCATTTATTCTAATACAAGATAAAAAAAAACAAAAAACAAAAAAAAAAAAAACTGGTTCATGATAAAAAATAATATACTTACTATCAAAATAGATAATACTTCTTTCATATTTGAAATACAAAGGTAGGCCTCTATCCTGCCCTGAAGTTGGGTACAGGCGGACGGTTTCAGGTCCAACTTTTGCGCAGAGGAAATATTCCTCGCACATGCCTTTACAGTGTCGTCTGGGGGCTTAGGTTCTTATCTAGCCTAGGCTAGGACTAGCTTTACTGGATGGCTGGCGTAAAAAATACTTCTGTCATCAAATACCGTATTATTTTCAAACAATATTTGATAATATTTCAATCTTACCAGAAGCAGATCCAGAATTTTTCAATGCAGGGGCACAGCACTTTCAGAATAGATAAGTGATAGCACATAACATTGATATGCATTGAAATTTTTTAAAAATTTAAAAATTTAGTGGCAAAGTACGGGCGAGGGGGAACGTTCCCCTGGATTCGTGCCTGCTTTCTAACAGAATGCCGTACCGTAAATTCTGTGATACTGACCTTCAAAATAAGTATTTTGGTATTTACTTATCGGTGTTCAATGTGCCTGATATCAAATGTTATGTATTTATTGTTACAAGGTTATTTCACTATATATATTAGCATTTGTATTGCCAAGTTTGTTCTTTTGCAACACCATCGCCAAAACTAACAATAAAAATGCCAATAAAGAATTCAAATTTTGAATCTGAATGTGTTTACTATCTCAAGTCAAATCCCAAACAAATCAAATTTGTCTAACTATAATTTTTTTTAAATATTATCTCTACGCTTTCTCCTCTTTCTCGTCTGTCTTAAACTATTAAAAACTGTTCTTTTAATTAGGACATGAATTCAAAATTCCGTCTATTTGCTAAAAGATAATCATTTTTATCTTACTTGTTTCAAGTAACAATAGTGAGGTAGGTCTACAAAACCCAGCATCTTGAATCAAAACAAACACGGTATTCACCTGTATGTTAAGCTTATTGCAAATTATTTCTATTGTAGCTTATTTAGTCCTAAGCAGAAAACACGAGGATAATTCAAAAGAACCCTTCTCAAATTTTAGAACAAGTTATATCAGGGGGTGCGCGGGGTGGGGGTTGCACCCCCAAAGCCCCAAAGAAATTACTCGCGCCCCCCGGCACCCCTTAGAAATCACGGTAAAGTAATTAAAAATCACCTAAAATCATTTTATTTTGCGAATTAGCGCCCCTCAACCGATCATCGAGCCCTCCACTTAATAATAATAATAATAATAATATGTCATTCTTATATAGCGCTTCATGCCTTTGGAAGGCCTCTAAGCGCTTCACATTACTACCCCGGCCATTGGATCAAACACGTATGGAACACATTGAAACACCAAATTAAATTAGTAAATGAAATTATATTATCATTCCATAAATTGCA